GTAACTTTACAAAATCAACAATTCCATCACTAATACAAGTGGATGGTTCAATTGCAACAACAGCCATAGAAAAAGCAAATCTACTAGCTGAACAATATACGTGGAAGTGGTTTTTTTCTACTTGTTGGAAGATTGCTCACGTACCGTCTATTCCCAAAAAAGGCAAAACAGTCTTCCAAATAACTATAGATCAGTCGCTTTGTTATCAGTGTAAACCAGCACATTCTCAAATATTTGGAAGGCTTCAACATCTTGAGCGACCATCAATATGGCTTTCGGAAACAAAGATCAACAGGCGACCTTCTATCGTATGTCCCCCATATTTAGAATAACGCAATCGAGAAACATGGAGAATGAAGAGCTGTTGCGCTTGATATTTCTAAGGCCTTTGACCGTGTGTGACATGAGGGTTTGCTGGCTAAATTTCGATGCTGTATCTTGTCGGATCATTTTTGTGTATGGCTCTCTCCAGCTTCCTGAAATATCGTTCTCTATAAGTGACAAAGTTCTCTGCAAGTGGCGGATATCACTGGAATACTTTCACCATCAAGGCTGGTATTCCCCAAGGATCCATATTGTCTCCAACCCTCTGTTTTTTGTAAATCAGCGACGTAATGTAAATAACCAAAAAGCCAATATATTGCTTTGCTGAAGACACCACACTTGTCTCGTCATTTTATTCTTCTTCAGGACATCGACTGCGGATGCACATTTTCACCGGCAGCAGGAGGTTGTATATCTTAATCTACAGGTGATTTCGAATTGAGGTGAAATTAATCAGGTTTCATTCGATGCCACGAAATTTCAGGCATCGGTTTTCTCTGTCTGTCTCCGACAGACAATTCCACTTTCTGCTGCGATAAGTTTATTAGGGGTTAAAATGGACACCAATATGTTTTGGCACACCTCAGCAAATTTTGGTGCTTTATAAAGCTCAGTTCAGAACTTCTTTGCAGTATTGTTCTCATGTATGGAGCTCAGCTCCTAAGCATACCTACACAGGCACCGCTCTTAGAGTGCCTCAAGAATGTTCCTCTTGGGCTTGTGTTTCGTGCTTAAAAAATTAAGCTTTGATAAAATGAACTGATACGATATATCAGGAATCTAAGATTATGAGCCTCCAAATATTTTCAGAATTCAAGTTCGATTTCAGACAAAATGAGACTGAGTGAAACTTCGACACAGAATTTTCAATAATCATCCCCTCTTATCATGAAGAAATATTTTCCCTTCTTATAAAATTTTACCTCTAGCAAGCTTATATATTCTTGAAGTATGCGTCTATATATATTTATGGATATTGACAAATTTTACAAATATTCCAACATTCATACATTGAACACAAGCCAAAAAAAAGATATTCACATTCCATATGCGAGACTCAATATTACTTCAAATTCTCCTAATTGTATTGGACCTAGGATATATAACCATCTTCCTGAAATTATAAAAGCAACAAAGAAATTATTTTGCTTCAAAAAAGCTTTAAATTACTTCCTATTGGAG